AATCCTGAAGCTGCATCCTTTCTAAGTCTCCCTGAGTCCACTGATCTAATTCAAAATGTATCTGGATCCACTCATCGCCTGGGCCACACATTCGACTTAATATTATCCCGTGAAGAGAATAATGTTATAACGGACGTTCGTATTCTATCAGCCGACAATATTTCAGATTATAATTTGGTTACTTGTAAGGTGAAATGTACAAGACCGAAACCTTCTACACTACATGTTAAACACAGAAACACCAAAAGGCTTGATTTAGCTAGTATGATGAAAGACATCGAAGAATCTAATCTCATTACTTATCCACAGTCTTGTGTGACTGAGCTGACTACACAATATAATACTAATCTCTCGTCTATCTTTGATCAACATGCTCCTGTGAACGAGAGATGGGTCACTCTGCGACCGCATTGTCCTTAGTATACCGATGAACTTCGTAAGGCTAAACAAGACAAACGTCGTCATGAAAGAAGTTATATTTCATCTGGTCTTCAAATTCACCACGAAATATTTATATATTCCTGGAAACACTACAATGATCTTCTAACAGCGACGAAGACGAACTATTATCGGACTCTGATCAGCTCCTCTGACCAATCACAACTATTCAAGATGGTATCTTGCCTATTCTTATCAAAAAACATTGCTGCACTCCCTAATAATGATTCATTGGATACATTGACCGAAACGTTCAACGATTTTTTTTATCAAAAAAACTGAGAAAATAAGATCGGATTTGGACTCCCATACTACCCAAGCAACCGACATCAACGTCAGTTATCCAGTCACCTCGTCGTGCCAAACTTTTCAACCTCTATCTGCTGATATTGTTCACAAAATTATTGTTGAATCTCCAACTAAATCTTGTCAACTGGATCCAATCCCAACACGAATCCTAAAGTCAATTCCACACTTGACGCCAATTATAACCAAGATTATCAATGCCTCCATGGCTAACGGAGAATTTCCTGATCAGTTAAAACAATCCCTGGTACGTCCATCTTTAAAGAAGGCTTTATTGGACCCGAACTGTCTCTCAAATTACAGACTGATTTCAAATCTCTCTTTTCTCTCGAAAACAATCGAAAGGGTGGTCGCAAATCAAATATACAAATATATGGCCGAGAACCAGTTATTTCCAGTGATGCAGTCAGCATACCGCAAATACTACTCCACTGAAACTGCTTTACTAAGTCTCAAATGACATCCTAAGAGCTGTAGATCAAAACAAAGAAGTAGTACTTGTTTTGCTAGACCTTTCCGCTGCGTTCGACACGATCGACCACAACATATTACTTGAAAGAATGGAGAAACGTTTCGGATTTGGAGGTATCGCACTAAAATGGTTCAAATCATACCTAGAACATCGTGTTCAGTCAGTGAAGATCAAACACTCCATCTCTAAGCCTCGACATATCTCCTACGGAGTAGTCCAGGGATTAGTACTTGGTCCACTACTCTTTCTAATGTATACCTCACTTACAGAAGACATTGTTGCTGAACATGGCCTAAACTGTATCATGTATGCTGATGATTCCCAACTTTACATAAAGATAAACTCCTCTGACAGGATGCCGGGCATGGAAAGATTGATATCATGTGTTAATAAAATCATGGAGTGGGCCAAGAAAAACAGATTGCAGTGCAACCCTTCAAAAACAGAAATCATTCATTTCCTCTCACGCTTCTCAAAAAATCCTCCTTTCCGTAATATCAATATTGGAGATGATATCATTAATTTATCTAATACTGTCCGAGACATAGGCGTCATGCTTGATTCTGTGATGAACTTACGCCCACTTATAAATTCCATCTGTAAATCGTCGTCTCTAGCAATCAGAAATATTGGTCGCGTTCATAAATACCTCTCGACGCAGCAAAGTGAAAGATTGATACACGCCTTCATCTCATCGAGACTTGATCACTGTAATAGCCTATTGTACGGTCTACCGATTTGTGATATCGAAAAATTCCAACGGATCCGAAACACAGCTGCCCGCTTGTTAGTCGGTGCTAAATCAAGAGACAGTATAACACCTATACTTATGAAACTTCATTGGCTCCCGGTCACAAAACGAATTCAATTCAAGATGCTGTTGATAGCATACAAAGCACTAAATGACATGGCTCCAACCTATCTTGTTGAACTTCTTAGTCGATATATTCCAGCACGAAACCTCCGTTCATCAAACATGAATCTACTTGAGGTCCCAACAATTCGAACTAAAACGTATGGGCAAAGAGCATTCTCCTAGCTGCACCGTATTTGTGGAATCAACTACCTGAATGCATAAAAAACGCCGAATCTGTTGACTCCTTTAAACGCTTATTGAAAACTTATCTTTTCAAAAATTAAGCCACCAGATTTTTTTTGATATCGTACGTTGTCAAATATATGTATAACACGTAATAATTCATTAGTTTAGATAGAGTAGCGAAAATTGCATGTATAGGATTTTTATTGAAA